AAGACATAAGTGCATCGTGAGGACAGAAATGTTGAGTTGTTCTAGAATCTTGTTCTAGAATCTTGGATCAATTCAACCGTGGGTTATGTTGGTAGTGGACTTCCATGGTTGTTTTCACCGAACATTCTCTCACTGTATTAATAATCATCATCATTATCCACATCAACAACAGCATTAATAACAGCATAGTGCTGAAACAAGATCTTCTGCACCAGATCAGTTCAACTTGTCATGGATTTCCATTGTAGGCTTCATACACAGAGGCACTTTCACTGAGCCTGTTGCATGGTGAGAGGGGTAAAGGCACTAGCAACTAATGCACAAAATAATCATTTGCAATATCTATTATACAATCGCTAATTTCAGTAAAATTAGAGTTATTTGTATTGTTTTGTTTGTGAAAACAAACAAACATGTCCCTAAATTTAGTGGTGAAATGGAAGACATGACTCATAATATGTTCACTTTTTCTTTGTTCAAAGAAGGTCCATGCACTGCACTAATGAAGTAATACTGTAACTTACTTGGTGCGTATTTATGAGAATATGCATTTTGATAATAGGTATTTATTCTGCTTCTTTGATCGACAACGTTTCAAGTCTGAACCCCCGAGTTGGGTTTGGATATACTGTATTTTGTCACATTTCAGAAACGTTTCAGGGATTTTTTTTAATTACCCACGTTTCGTTTCCGTGACAGTATGAGACAATGTTCAGTGTCTGTAATTGCAACAAAGCTGAATACTGACGTCATGCATTAGATATACTAGGATACACAGTACCTAGTCGATAGGCCGTAATGCAGGTTGCTTTTTCTCATGCTATGATCTTAGTTTAGTTACTGTTTCCCTTAAGATTTTTAACATTCACTCCCTAGACACTTCTAAACAATTAGCATTTTCAAATGAAAAACTGTTTGAAACCAGTGCTGCACTCTCAGTGAAACCAAATGATAAAGGGGGGGGGGGTCGAATGAAGGCGTAGGGAGATGCAAAAATCCAAAACATAAATATATTTTTAGCATTATTATGAGGTTATGTCTCATCATCACGCATGCCAATATCAACATGTATGGGGAGTTTCTAAACATGCTCATGTGAAGCTCTTTTGTTATATCATTGTGCTGTCTTGCATTTAAAGGGATAAAATCCCATTGAATCATTTGGTGATTTCATAATTACAGCATCTTACTGCTGGAAAATAGCAGCATTGCGGATGTCCGTATCCTAGATCATCATCCTCATCATCATCCAAACCAGGAGATCAGTGATCAGTCTTTTTCCTAGGTGCTTTGCTGGATAGTAAATCCTTTGATGACAGAGGGGTAGAGGAGTAGCCTCGTCTGACTTCAGGCTAGGCGTCGGTCGATCAGAACACTGTCTGACTGCTACAGATGCTGATTTGAGAAATTATCTGATGCATTTTCTCCTTGATGCATTGTGCAACTTGCTGAAATGTTGTTATCTGTAATCCATGCATGACATTTTAATTACGACACCTGGCTTCGTCTGATAAAGACAGATATGTCCTCGTGAGTGCTGTTGGTTAGTGTTCCTCCAAGGACGCCCGCGTATGCTTGTGCGTGTTAAATATACGTTTGTTTGTTTTTTCTTTTTCAATACTTATTTAAAGGATCATTTTAGATTAATGAATTACTCTATCTATATGTTATATTCTCTAGTAACAGCTTAATTTTAATTTTTCCCCCTGTAATAATTACTTTCAAATTGCTGAGCATGGTTGTTTTTGTAATGCTAGAGCGCTTATAGGAGGCGAATGAAGCTTTCGAAACTGATGGTCTAGTGAAGTCAACATGTGGCGGCATCATCTAAGTCCCATGGTTTCTAATTCGATTCTACACATCTGTAAGCAGCTTGCTTTTATTTACACAGTTTTGGTTGGCTATAGTGCAATTGCCAGTTCTGAGGTTTGCCTCTCTAAAGTTGTCGATGCTATTATTTATATCTCCATCAATCTCCATGTACTCTGATTTGCTGACAGTGGACGAGCTACGGCGACTAGAGTTGCTTTCACTAATGTTTGGTTCACTAACGTTTAAGAGTTGGGCCTGCTCCTCTCCCTCGGTCTCCCTATGGTAGAAGTAGTTGAAGTTTGACACAATGACAGGCACTGGGAGCGCAATCGTCAACACACCAGCTATGGCGCAAAGGGAGCCCACTATCTTACCCCCTATAGTGACAGGCACCATGTCCCCATAGCCCACAGTTGTCATAGATACCACGGCCCACCAAAAGGCTTCTGGGATGCTGCCGAAGTACGACCCTTTCTCCTCGGCCTCTGCGAAGTACACCGCGCTGGAGAACAGGATGACTCCAATGAAGAGGAAGAAGATCAGCAATCCGAGCTCACGCATACTGGCCTTGAGGGTCTGTCCCAGGATCTGCAATCCTTTGGAGTGTCGTGACAGCTTGAAGATTCTAAACACTCTGACCAGACGGATCACCCTGAGGATGGCCAGAGATGTTGCCTGCTCCCCCATGCCCTCGTCCTGGTCTTCGGGGTCCTCAGCCAGCTCCGTGCCCAGTGTGATGAAGTAAGGGATGATGGCCACTATATCGATGATGTTCATCATGTTTTTGGAGAAGACCGCCTTGCTTGGACACGCGAAAAAACGCACTATCAACTCAAACGAGAACCAGATAATGCAAAGAGTTTCAATAATGAAGAAGGGGTCGGTTAGGATGTTTGGTTTGTAGTAAAAAGTATGGTTCCCTACAGTCTTAAACCGACCCTTAGGGTCTTCTTTCAAGTCAGGTAAAGTCTCTAAACAAAATATGACTATAGAAATCAGAATTACCATTACAGATACTATAGCAATCCCTCTGGCTGGACCCGAGCTCTCTGGGTGCTCAAAAAGCAGCCAGATCTGACGCTGGAACTCCTTTTCAGGTAAAGGACGTTCTTCCTCCCTGACGAAGCCCTCATCCTCACGGAATTTCTCCATGGCATCCACTCCCAACTCATAAAACTTTATCTCTTCCGAGAACATATCCAATGGGACGTTGACGGGCCTTCTCAGCCTACCCCCAGACTGGTAATAGTACAGGATGGCATCGAAACTGGGACGGTTTCTATCAAAGAAATACTCGTTTCTCAGGTGGTCAAAGTAGCGCATCCTCTTCTTGGGGTTGCCTAGCAATGTCTCGGGGAACTGGGAGAGAGTTTTGAGCTGAGTCTCGAACCGCATCCCCGCTATGTTGATGACCACCCTCTCACAGCAGTCGTGGTCTTCGTGGTCGAGGGGGTACGCGTCCTGCGGGTGCCCCGGCACCGCCACGGTCTCGTCCATGTTATCTCCTGCCACTACGGTCATCTTGTAGCTCGAATTCGGGAGCTCTGTTGCAGCAGGAGTTGTGGAATTCCGGTTGTCCGGTTAATCTGATTGAACAGGCGGCATTCAGGTTTTGGCAGGGTACAATTTCCTTCTCCACTCTTCTTCTTCTCCCCCTATTTCTTGTTCTAGTCCCCAGATAGGGGGGTAGCTTGCTTTGCCTCAGTGCGGCTCCACTGCGGTTCTGGCTGACTCGACCATTGCTGCTCTCCGCTGCATCTGCTGCTGCTGATGCCTCTGTCATCAGTCATAGAAAAAAAAGAGAAAATAATGGATCTAAGGAGCAGTGGAGATATATGCTGGCTCAGCGATTTCTGCCATTTATTTATTTATTTAGCCTCTCTCGGCTACATTTCCTGTCTGTTTATTTATCAGCGTTTAAAGGGGCAAACTATATTGTTTTATCGGTGATAAGCTAAACATAAAGCAATCGACTATGCATATTATAATTGACAGGGTAAATGTAATATAATTGCACCACTTTATATGCATGTTTTGTCGCATAACACTGTTTGAAACTTGCCTCACGCAAATAAGGAAGTGTTAAATGCAATAAAAGTAATATAGAAAACAACATCAATTTAGCCTTACTGTCACAGTCTGAATGGCCTAGTAGTAATAGATAACAATAGCCTTGGAAGTATTCCCCCCAAACCCTCAAATTACAGACAGACAGAGTGCACCAATTTCAAGGCTTACCTCAGGATGATCGTGAAGGAATCCTGAAGGAATGCGTCTTGTCCGCGACTAAGCACAGTCATTCAACGCTAGGACAGCCAGGACATCCGGAGAGTTGTTGTCATGTGTTAATACATTAACACTTTACGTTGAACCCCACCGCAACACATTGGAGCTTTCCTCTGTGCAGAGTGAGATCGACCTGGTGGGCTAACACACTCAAGACATCACTGTCTGAGCCGTTCGTATCGGATAACTTAAATGACTTATTTGTCTACATCTTGATCCTGTCGCCTCTTCTTGACATTCGATGTAAAATCACGCTGGAGTCAGAGGAGAAACGTGAAGATGGAAAAACAGAAAAACTAAATGTAAGCCGCAACGTCTGTAGCCGGTTGTGCGGTAGGGGTACTTCGGATTGAACTGCTTATACCGCAGGATAAATTCTTATTCTGCAATTCAGGGGGGAGATACATTAAGGGGCAGTAAGCGAACCCTTGCCATTTTCAGACATTACCGCATCAGCAAAATTGTCCTGTTACGAGTAGCCTAGACAAGATGACGGGCATTCTAGGATGTGTTTTACCTCGAGCAGGCACACTGTTAAGAGGGGATGGAGACTGGAGGTGCTTAAATAGAGGGAGGAATCGATTATGTGAAGAGAGAATCATTTCTTAATAATGGTTCAGCATATTGTTGTTAGGTATTTCACATGCAAGGAGAGTGGAGGTGGAGAGGGTGTGTGTATTAGAGAGAGAGAGAGAGAGAGAGAGAGAGAGAGAGAGAGAGAGAGAGAGAGAGAGAGAGAGAGAGAGAGAGAGAGAGAGAGAGAGAGAGAGAGAGAGAGAGAGAGAGAGAGAGAGAGAGAGAGAAGCTCGACGCAATGCAGACCGGCTATACTAAAGCATCCTGCCACGAGTTCTCTCTACACCACAAAAGCAACAGCATTGTGTGTGCCAGCATTGGCGCAATATCTGCTCTTCTGAAGGAAGGGTTATGAGCCAGCCAGTACCTTAATAATTATTTCCCAACCACTCAACAATGGTCCTAATGATAAGCTACAGATAAATTGATATGTTATAACTTAAACTACAGTAATTCATTCATACAGTTTTCATGTTTCTCTCTCAACTTCGCAGTTGTTCATACTCTCCTCTTAGCTAAATTCTGTGTGGCCACTGACCGGAAAGACAATTTCAGCACCATGGACAGCGGTCGCGAGCAGCGCGTTTCCGAACAGAGCGCGCTCGATTATGATACTGACCACCAATGTTCTGTTGTTGTTGTTACTGTCAATCTAATCAATAGGACGAATTGAAAACAGGCATGTTAAGATAAATCTGAGTCAAGTTGCAGTGAGTTCATTCAAATACTTTTTTTTAGATGGGCTGCGTGAGTGAATGTTAGGAGTTGTCTGATCATATATAAGCAAATAACTAACTTTTTCGCGTCATCCTCGAGGATGTTATGCAACTGTCTTTTGTTGTGTGTCTTTAAAATTGATCTAATTGACATATCAAATTCTAAAAATATAATTGATAGACATTAAGGAAAACATCAATTGGAGTGAGCTCGAATATCATTAATAAGAAATCGTTCATATTCCCAACCCTCCCTCTCTGCACAACACATCTCCATAACACACTCTCCATGATATTACCTAATCAATTGCATAGTATTACATGATCAGACACATGCATAATACATTGTATTACAGCTTATCTTGTGGTTGTTATGAAGCACAAAGTGCACATCTGAGAACAGCATTACTCTACGTGACACATGAGAATCGAACTGTGAGCAATTGCAGGGATCGAGCCCACTCACTCTAAAGCTCAGCTATCTAGGTACTGTTGTGCTAAACACTCCAAATCCATTAGTAATGTTACAGAGCGGGAAGCCAACTTAAAGGTGTTCCTTTATACTACTCCCCATCCTCAGGATCTCTCTCTCGCTCTATCTCTCAATTTAATTCAATGGGCTTTAATGGCATGGGAAACATATGTTTGTTTACATTGCCAAAACAAGTGAAATAGATAATAAACAAGAGTGAAATAAACAATATAAAATTAACAGTAAAGATTACACTCACAAAAGTTCCAAATAAATAAAGACATTTCAAATGTCATATTATGTCTATATACAGTGTTGTAACAATGTGCAAATAGTTAAAGTACAAAAGGGAAATCAAATAAACGTAAACATGGGTTGTATTTACAATGGTGTTTGTTCTTCACTGGTTGTCCTTTTTTTGTGACAACAGGTCACAAATATTGCTGCTGTGATGGCACACTGTGGTATTTCACCCAATAGATATGGGAGTTTATCAAAATTGGATTTGTTTTCAAATTATTTGTTGGTCTGTGTAATCTGAGGGAAATATGTGTCTCTAATATGGTCATACATTTGTCAAGAGGTTAGGAAGTGCAGCTCAGTTTCCACCTCATTTTGTGGGCAGTGTGCACATAGCCTGTCTTCTTTGAGAGCCAGGTCTGCCTACAGCGGCCTCTCTCAATAGCAAGGCTATGCTCACTGAGTCTGTACATAGTCAAAGCTTTCCTTGATTTTGGGTCAGTCACAGTGGTCAGGTATTCTGCCACTGTGTACTCTCTGTTTAGGGCAAAATAGCATTCTAGTTTGCTCTGTTTTTTTGTTAAATCTTTCCAATGTGTCAAGTAATTATTTTTTGTTTTCTCATGATTTAGTTGGGTCTAATTGTGTTGCTGTCCTGGGGCTCTGTGCCCCAGGACCAGCTTACTTAGGAGACTCTTCTCCAGGTTCATATCTCTGTAGGTGATGGCTTTGTTATGGAAGGTTTGTGAATCGCTTCCTTTTAGGTGGTTGTAGAATTTAATTGCTCTTTTCTGGATTTTGATAATTAGCGGGTATCGGCCTAATTCTGCTCTGCATGCATTGTTTAGTGTTTTACATTGTACACAGAGGATATTTTTGCAGAATTCTGCATGCAGTCTCAATTTGATGTTTGTCCCATTTTGTGAATTATTGGTTGGTGAGCGGACCCCAGACCTCACAACCATCAAGGGCAATGGGTTCCATAACTGATTCAAGTATTTTTTGCCAAATCCTAATTGGTATGTAGAATTTTATGTTCCTTTTGATGGCGTAGAAGGCCCTTGTGGAAGTTACCTGTGGCGCTGATGTTTAAGCCGAGGTATGTATCGTTTTTTGTGTGCCCTAGGGCAACAGTGTCTAGATGTAATTTGTATTTGTGGTCCTGGCAACTGGACCTTTTTTGGAACACCATTATATTTTTCTTACTAAGATTTACCATCAGGGCCCAGGTCTGACAGAATCTGTGCAGAAGATCTAGGTGCTGCTGTAGGCCCTCCTTGGTTGGGGACAGAAGCACAAGATCATCAGAAAACAGTAGACATTTGACTTCAGATTCTAGTAGGGTGAGGCCGGGTGCTGCAGACTGTTCTAGTGCCCTCGCCAATTCGTTGATATATACAGTGGGGAAAAAAAGTATTTAGTCAGCCACCAATTGTGCAAGTTCTCCCACTTAAAAAGATGAGAGAGGCCTGTAATTTTCATCATAGGTACACGTCAACTATGACAGACAAAATGAGAAAAAAAAATCCAGAAAATCACATTGTAGGATTTTTAATGAATTTATTTGCAAATTATGGTGGAAAATAAGTATTTGGTCAATAACAAAAGTTTCTCAATACTTTATTATATACCATTTGTTGGCAATGACACAGGTCAAACGTTTTCTGTAAGTCTTCACAAGGTTTTCACACACTGTTGCTGGTATTTTGGCCCATTCCTCCATGCAGATCTCCTTTAGAGCAGTGATGTTTTGGGGCTGTCGCTGGGCAACACAGACTTTCAACTCCCTCCAAAGATTTTCTATGGGGTTGAGATCTGGAGACTGGCTAGGCCACTCCAGGACCTTGAAATGCTTCTTACGAAGCCACTCCTTCGTTGCCCGGGCGGTGTGTTTGGGATTATTGTCATGCTGAAAGACCCAGCCACGTTTCATCTTCAATGCCCTTGCTGATGGAAGGAGGTTTTCACTCAAAATCTCACGATACATGGCCCTATTCATTCTTTCCTTTACACGGATCAGTCGTCCTGGTCCCTTTGCAGAAAAACAGCCCCAAAGCATGATGTTTCCACCCCCATGCTTCACAGTAGGTATGGTGTTCTTTGGATGCAACTCAGCATTCTTTGTCCTCCAAACACGACGAGTTGAGTTTTTACCAAAAAGTTCTATTTTGGTTTCATCTGACCATATGACATTCTCCCAATCCTCTTCTGGATCATCCAAATGCACTCTAGCAAACTTCAGACGGGCCTGGACATGTACTGGCTTAAGCAGGGGGACACGTCTGGCACTGCAGGATTTGAGTCCCTGGCAGCGTAGTGTGTTACTGATGGTAGGCTTTGTTACTTTGGTCCCAGCTCTCTGCAGGTCATTCACTAGGTCCCCCCGTGTGGTTCTGGGATTTTTGCTCACCGTTCTTGTGATCATTTTGACCCCACAGGGTGAGATCTTGCGTGGAGCCCCAGATCGAGGGAGATTATCAGTGGTCTTGTATGTCTTCCATTTCCTAATAATTGCAACCACAGTTGATTTCTTCAAACCAAGCTGCTTACCTATTGCAGATTCAGTCTTCCCAGCCTGGTGCAGGTCTACAATTTTGTTTCTGGTGTCCTTTGACAGCTCTTTGGTCTTGGCCATAGTGGAGTTTGGAGTGTGACTGTTTGAGGTTGTAGACAGGTGTCTTTTATACTGATAACAAGTTCAAACAGGTGCCATTAATACGGGTAACGAGTGGAGGACAGAGGAGCCTCTTAAAGAAGAAGTTACAGGTCTGTGAGAGCCAGAAATCTTGCTTGTTTGTAGGTGACCAAATAATTATTTTCCACCATAATTTGCAAATAAATTCATTAAAAATCCTACAATGTGATTTTCTGGATTTTTTTTCCTCAATTTGTCTGTCATAGTTGACGTGTACCTATGATGAAAATTACAGGCCTCTCTCATCTTTTTAAGTGGGAGAACTTGCACGATTGGTGGCTGACTAAATACTTTTTTTCCCCACTGTATGTTGAAGAGGGTGGGGCTCAAGCTGCATCCCTGTCTCACCCCACGGCCCTGTGGAAAGAAATGTTTGTGTGTTTTGCCACTTTTAACTGCACACTTGTTATTTGTGTACATGGATTTTATAATGTCGTATGTTTTTCCCCCAACACCGCTTTCCATCAATTTGTATAGCAGACCCTCATGCCAAATTGAGTCAAATGCTTTTTTGAAATCAACAAAGAATGAGAAGACTCTCTCTCCTTCCCTCCCTCCCTCTCCCTCCCTCCCCCTCCCACCTCTCTCTCTCTCTGCTTAGTTTAATCTGCTAAAATGTGCTGCTAGCCGGTGCTGCAAATGGGCCTATTGTATTGATATTATACACTTAATATATCACTGTCTGCCTTCGATTAAGTTAATGCAGTCTGTTGCCATATTAACTAGTTAAGGACACTCCCATCCCACTCTATAATATGACCAAACATTCACTCTCGTTGGGAGGATCTGTAATAAATATGATAGCAAAATAATAAGCATTTATTTATTTAAAAAATATAGTTCAAAAGTTCACATACAATTTTACAATCTTAGAAAAATATAAATAGATATTTCATTAACATTTTAGAGTACAATTGATTTCTCCTAAAATGCAGACATAATTAGATTCCTATGGGCAAGTTATTTTAAGACCAGTGATTAATTCCCAAGGACCGTTTACAGCTAAATCTGCATTTTTGTACAATAAATAGTTATATAAAATAAAGGACTACACAAATAGTTCCTTCAAAATCTTCCACATAAGGGCACGCAGAGCAAGGCATGTTTGCATTAAGATTCTGAGCTGAGAACATAAGGATAGCATTTACAATATAGGCATATTTACAACAATACATTACAGGATATCTACACAGTAGTCATTTCAGTTAATTGAATACATTGCAAAGTACATTGAAAGGTTCATTGAGTTAAAAAGAAAAGTATCTATTTTCCAAAGACTATTCCAAAGACTATTTTCCAAAAGTGTAGTTTGTTCAGGGGGCTCTCCATTTGATGATGTAGCAGCACCTGTCATCTCACATTGCTGGCCAGTAGTTAATGGGACAAGCGTGTGATGTTTGTTCAATATCTTGACTTTTCCAGTTACAAATATATATGGAATCGTATTTCGTTTCAAGTGGAACAGAAAGGCAAGGGTCTTTGATCTTGTCCCCTGCAAGTAGAAAGAAGATCATGCTTTTTTGTGTGCGGTGGTATTCCATCACTTCAGTCCAAAATGTTTCTAACAAGCTTTTTAGGGACAATTCATGTACAGTCAATATAGTAAATAATACACACACTTTCATCATCAGCAATGTCTTGCACACTGTCCAGATAACCTAAATAGCGATTAGAATGTTTTACCTTGAAAGCGTCTGCTGCACGACTGCATTTCAACCACACAGTGGCGCTCCGAGTTCAGAAATTCTATAGGCTATCCAAAAGCAACGCAGTTCTAAACAGCTATATGCCTACTGAAGGTGTCAAACAAATTAATTTAAGTTATTTTAAGATTATATGCCAACAAACACTGTGCGTAATAGCGTGAGTAAAAACGCGCGCAATTATTCAAACATGCACATAGGCCTCGCACTGACCTGAGATTACTCTAATGAAGCTATAAACCTACTGTGGGTATCCAACAAATTAATTCAAGATATTTGAAGATTACATGCCAACTAACAGCGTGCGTAAAAGCGCGCGTAATAAACTACACAGGTCGTCTGCTCACCAAGACAGGTTTTTCTGCTCAACTAGGCCGATGCTTGTTTTCATACATCCGTCAGCTTGCCAGTGTACTGTTCAAATGGGTTGAAGTTTGTTAATCTGATAGTCTCGCAAGAATCCTCTTCCATGTACTCTGATTTGGTGAGGGACTGTTTGCTGTCGCTGGTCGATTTGAATTCTCCAAATGAAGCGTTCTGTTGACCACAAGTCACGTGGGTATACACGGCGGTTTCCTCGTCATTACGCTCTCTGTGATAGAAATAGTTAAAATTGGACACGATGACAGGGACAGGTAGGGCAATGGTCAGCACTCCTGCGATGGCACACATAGATCCCACTATTTTGCCACCAATTGTAACCGGGCACATGTCTCCATATCCAACCGTAGTCATGGACACCACTGCCCACCAGAAAGCGGCGGGGATACTTGAGAATCCCGATTCAGGGTCGTCTGCCTCTGCAAAATAAACAGCGCTGGAAAACAGAATAACCCCTATGAGAAGAAAGAATATCAAAAGCCCGAGTTCGCTGATGCTGGCGTGGAGTGTCTGGCCCAGAATTTGGAGCCCCTTGGAGTGCCTGGAAAGTTTAAAAATCCTGAAGACTCGAACCAAACGGATGACTCTGAGTATGGCTAACGACATGGCCTGCTCGCTTCCTGCTCCCTGTAGCTCTGCGAGTTCAAGGCCAAGGGTTATGAAATAAGGTGCAATCGCTAAGATATCGATGGAGTTCATTGCGTTTTTGAAAAAAGCCGGTTTGCACGGGCACGATAAAAACCTCATGAGAAACTCAAAGGAAAACCACACGATGCAAAGTGTCTCCACCATGAAAAACGGATCTGTGAATGGATTGGGTTTTCTATGGACAGTAGTCCCATTCGTGGTGAGGTGATTACTGAATGGTAGGCCTGCGCTGGTATCTTCCCTGAACTGTGGCAAAGTCTCTAGACAGAATATCACAATGGATATCAAAATCACACTGACTGATACGACAGCGATCATCCGGGCAGGCCCTGAGCTCTCCGGGTACTCAAATAACAACCACATCTGGCGCTGAAACTCGTTGTCAGGCATCGGACGTTCCACCTCTATGATCATACCTTCATCTTCTTTGAACATCTCTATGGCCTCATCTTCAATTTCATAAAATTTCATTTCTTCCATGAAAATGTCCATGGTAACGTTGACAGGTCTCCTAAGCCTTCCTCCAGACTGGTAATAATAAAGGATAGCATCAAAGCTGGGTCTATTCCTGTCAAAAAAGTACTCATTTCTCAACGGATCGAAAAAGCGCATCCTTTTACGCGGGTCTCCCAAGAGCGTGGTGGGAAAGCGCGAGAGGGTCTTCAGTTGTGTTTCGAAGCGCAGCCCGGAGATGTTGATGACAACCCTCTCGCTGCACTCCTGATCGCCTCGCTCCACGTCGCAATCATCTTGGTACAGGGGAGAAACTACCACAGTCTCGTCCAGGTTCTCACGGGACACAACAGTCATCTTTTACCCCTCTCAAGGGTAAGCGCTTCACCCTCCACGGCCCCAACTGTCACTTTCTCGGTCGTTTTTTACTGCCCTGTAAAAGTTTGCTTCTTGTTGGTTTCCCCAATTTAAATTCATACACTTTTAGTTGCAGAAGGGCCTGAAATCCAATCCAGTCAGTCCACTTGCTACCGTTGACTGTCTACACTGATGCCGATCATATTCACACCATTTTAAACGGCCAGATGCCCTCCCCGAGTTGACTGACGTGATGACACTTGCTGCACTGTCCCCTGCTCACTCACTGCTCTCTCTGTGGCATGTTGTTAAATCTAACACAACTAGTAAACACCTATTACACTTTAAAACGTTTTCTCAACTCAGGACTTGCAGTGTTGACCAGTTCTCTAATATCATATTTCAGAGAAACAAACCACAGCCATAATTTTTGAAAGGACTGTCCAAGTTTCCTTTAGTTAACCCTATAAACTGTAGCCCCTGCCTACACAAAAATCATAACTCAGTAGATTTTACAAGGTATTTCTTTCCTGTTGCATTTTGAATGTTTGTTTCCTATCTTAAATAACCACATGGGTTCTAAAGCAGTTTACCAGGGGCTCAGACTAAAGGAGAGAGCAGAGTGTAAAGCTACCAGGGGCTCAGACTAAAGGAGAGAGCAGAGTGTAAAGCACCAGCTTCACATATCCGACCAGGAGCCCTCCTGGACCGGGCTAGTGGAAACTGCTAGCTTGACTGACACCTGAGCACCCACAGTGGATAACGTCTTAAGGAAGCCTCAGCCAAAATACCCCCCCCCCCCCCCCCCCCCCCCCCCCCCCCCATTCCCAGCACTTAAAGGGTTCCATTTTACAACTTGGAACATGGGGCCTCTCGCAGAAATGTGACCTAGCATTTGGGTCCCAGAGAGACTGGGGTGTAAAAAACAGTTACATGTACGCTCACCCCAATTATAGTGTAACCTCCACTCAGGTCCTGTTGGCTCCGTAACAGTAGACCTGGACCTGCTCGGGAAGTGGTTTGTAAGAGGGTGAGAGAGAGAGTGAGAAAGGTTGAGTGACACTTTCCGTACTGCTTTCGGTGCCCATGTCGTTCTAATAAGAACCACTGATTCTGAATCGACTAGACAAGGCCTGTAAGAGGAGAAGATGTAGTTAAGAGTTTAGCTCCCCACATTTAGATTTTATTATCCCCTGAGATTGGATGTAGGCTTAAGCCAAAAGCGGTTGTGCATTAAAGTGCAACATGTTTGCAGTTTAATATGTACTGTAAGTAACATGTAGTACGCAGCATTACATACCTGTACAATTAAGAATGGCTACAACCCTCTAAGGGAGAGTTTTCTTTTCTTTGTGTCATGTTTCTTTAAATTATTGTAGGGTAGGTCCACACGGTAAATTAATCACTCTCTTACACAACCTTGTCCACCAACTTGGAGCTCCGGTTTCATCTGCTTCACACATGGTGTGCTTTGAAGACTGTGAGAAAAGACCGAAACAAGATCAACAATCTTTCTTAGAAACACAGTTGATTAATGTCTGTGTCAAAACTGAACCACCAAACCCAAGATGGGCTATGCATCTACACTCAACGAGGGAACCAGTTTTTGATGCAGTAGCCTAAGTTTTATTTTATTTCTTATTTCACCTTTATTTAACCAGGTAGGCCAGTTGAGAACAAGTTCTCATTTACAACTGCGACCTGGCCAAGATAAAGCAAAGCAGTGCGATAAAAACAACAACAACACAGAGTTACATGTGGAATAAACTAAACGTACAGTCAATAACACAATAGAAAATCTATATACAGTGTGTGCAAATGTAGTAAGTTATGGAGGTAAGGCAATAAATAGGCCATAGTGCAAAATAATTACAATATAGTATTAACACTGGAGTGATAGATGTGCAGAAGATAATGTGCAAATAGAGATACTGGGGTGCAAATGAGCAAAATAAATAACAATATGGGGATGAGGTAGTTGGGTGGGCTAATTACAGATGGGCTGTGTACAGGTGCAGTGATCGGTAAGCTGCTCTGACAACTGACGCTTAAAGTTAGTGAGGGAGATAAGAGTCTCCAGCTTCAGAGATTTTTGCAGTTCGTTCCAGTCATTGGCAGCAGAGAACTGGAAGGAATGGTGGCCAAAGGAGGTGTTGGCTTTGGGGATGACCAGCGAGATATACCTGCTGGAGCGCATACTACGGGTGGGTGTTGCTATGGTGACCAATGAGCTAAAATAAACTGGGGATTTGCCTAGAAGAAATTTATAGATGACCTGGAGCCAGTGGGATTGGCGACGAATATGTAGTGAGGACCAGCCAACGAGAGCGTACAGGTCACAATGGTGGGTAGTATATGGGGCTTTGGTGACAAAACGGATGGCACTGTGATAGACTACATCCAATTTGCTGAGTAGAGTGTTGGAGGCTATTTTGTAAATGACATCGCAGAAGTCAAGGATCGGTAGGATAGTCCGTTTTACGAGGGCATGTTTGGCAGCATATGTGAAGGAGGCTTTGTTGCGAAATAGGAAGCCGATTCTAGATTTAATTTTGGATTGGAGATGCTTAATGTGTGTCTGGAAGGAGAGTTTACGGTCTAACCAGACACCTAGGTATTTGTAGTTGTCCACAAGTCAGACCCGCCGAGAGTAGTGATTCTAGTCGGGCGGGCGGGTGCAAGCAGTGTTCGATTGAAGAGCATGCATTTAGTTTTAGTTTTGTACCAAACCCATGCTATCACAGTTTGCTAATTGATGGCCAATGAAGTTAACGTTTGTGGTGATCAAACGTTTTGTGAATGGGTGACCATGAACATAGTGGACACAGCTTAACTGCCCCCTCTATCTATACAGACCCAGGGTTGGATGTCAGAGTCAAATGTCAGTGTAAGGACGTGGTGCCACCCGCGATAATCTGTTACCCAACGACCGTCTAGGTCAGGCCAAGGCGTCAGGGGCTTCTGTCTCCACGGAAACAAACAGTAAACAAATAGTCTTAATAATGGCTTCACTGCAGGCTGATAAATGGGTCAGAATACAAAAAGGTTCTAAGAATGCCAGTTTCATCATTACTGATAGCAATCCTGATGTAGAATTTCTCCGACATTTTTCACTCGTCATCTTTTCCCCATTGATGATGAAGCTGTGACACTCAGATGCTCTGAACTGAAAACAGCCCTAACTGATGACCAGTCACCTCATTTGCAACTGACTGAAATAAAATATTATTCCTTTTGCTGTGGGGCACACACACATACACATGCCCCCCCCCCCCCCCCCCCCCCCCCCCCCCCCCCCCACCCACCAAGGAGCCCAAGGCGTGTAAAATGCTGACAGGAAGCACATCCCATCATTACAGATGGCTCGACCTGTGGGTGCAGGAGACCCTCATGTCAACAGGATATCCTCAAGTCATTCACACCAAGAATGGAACGCAACATAGAGGTCGATGCCAGGTCCCACAGTTTTCACATGTACACAGTGCACAAGCATGCTTATATTCAGAGCTGTTAGGGCCTCTGCCTTCCGTGTGCAGATATAGACGTACCAAGTCGGCATGGGTTCGATTCCAGCCCATGCCCTTCTGGCACAAATAACCCAATCCCCTGATTGACGTGATTTAGGCACACATTTCAAAATGGACTGTCTAGGGATATTTTCCCCCGATCTTGATAAGAAATTATCATACCAGACACTGTTGGATAACATAAAATAGGAAACTAATAACAGGAGGCTACACCAACATTAGTTTCCATTCATACAAAGTGTTGGGTGAATTGCCACAGTAGATCTGCCGTGGTAAACAAGGTATTTTATTTATATTGTACGGAATACTTGTCAAATAGATAAATTCCCCTTAGTCTCTTAAAAAAGGACTAAGTTGTTTCCGATAACAAAATACTTTGGTTGCAAGCAGGACTAAGGCAGAGAAGAGGCGAAGTGTAAAAAAGGCAGTCCTGCTCCTCTCCTCTTTACCTAACTTCCCCTCACAGTCCCTTCAAGTCCTGTTACTTTGCCTGCTCTAAGTTATCCCTCACCCATCATAGCCCTGCCATTCCCAACCAATCAGAGCATTTGGAAAAGCACTTCTGGACACTGCACACTCCCACTCAGGTCAGAATGTTATCGTCCACCGAATGGAGAAGACGCATGTTTCTGAGGACCTTTTATTGTCGACAGTAACACGGGAGCACCGGTACCACCGCTACTCTCCTGATCACCACCACTCTAGGCCTCCCCGGCTAGAGCCATCGTCACCACCGCGGGAGCACCGGTACCACCGCTACTCTCCTGATCACCACCACTCTAGGCCTCCCCAGCTAGAGCCATCGTCACCGCCACGGGAGCACCGGTACCACCGCTACTCTCCTGATCACCACCACTCTAGGCCTCCCCGGCTAGAGCCATCGTCACCGCCACGGGAGCGCCATCACTGCCAATACTCCCAAAGTCGGCCCGGCTACTCCCCTGAGAGACTACTCCAGGCCCTCCCGGCCTGAGTGTTCGCCAACTCCACGGGACCATTGGGACCCCCACTACGTCCCGAGGTGGCCCAGCTATTCAACAGATCTTCGTAGCTCCAGGCCCCCCCGACTGGAGCCAACGTCGTATCTGCCAGAGCGTCCTCCCCCCGAGGTGGTCCAGCCGCTCTCCCGACCGATGTCCCTCTAGGCCCCCCCGGCCAGAGGCAAGGGAGCGTCGGGTCCACTTCTGCTCCCCAGAGCAGCCTAGCTCCCCAGAGCAGATGAAGACTCCAGAGTGCACAGTCCACGACACCAAGGTCTCCACCTTCCTCAGCCAGCTCCTCGACTAACCACAGTTAAGGAGCCTCCCACTCCAGTCGTGAAGCTACAGCTAGCCGCTGCCATGGGGTCTGTTCTGGTTGCCGTTGCGGAGTCGTCCTCTTCTCCCAGTGGGGATCCCCTGCTAGTTGAGGCAGATGCTTGGGTGCCCGAGGTTCGACTGTCTGTTACCCTGGAACCTTCAGCTACAAAGACTC